TTTGACCCAGTGGCTTCGTTTTTCCAAGTTCTAAGCTGGAAAAAATTTTCATATCCATAAGTTATCGGCAATATAGATAAATGTCGCTCGCACGCGCGAAAAGTGACTCAAAACACGAAAAGTGGGGGAGGGGGCTTTCGCTCCGAGACTGAATTTGGAGGTTCAAAATGCGAAGGTACGAAAAAAATTGCATTATCTCGGCTTCTAATGGACCAATTTCAATCTTTTTTTAATCTGATGTCTCGCGAGCCAAGGAAATCGAATATCGTAATGCCAACTGTCTAATTTGCATATTGTTATAAACAAAGTTTATTATTTATGCATTAAATATACTGTATATTTTACCCTATGCCATTGCATTTTTTCGAGGAAAAAATTTGTTTACGTAGGTATATATTTCAACATTCTGAATATGAATATATTTAGTTATAATTATTGCAATTTTTTAAATAATTTTTGTTAAAACAAATTAAAATTTTTTGTTAATTGGAAATTAATTTTTTTTTGTTAAATACNTAATTGTTTAAAAAATAAAAAAAAATTTTAACTTTAAAAATTTACTGAGACCGTCCTAATCAACCGATTTAAATTTTTCAAAAACCATTGAAAGGTTCAGCGGTCTTTTCTATGTGAAAAAATTTTCTTTCAAGTATCTAGATGCTTTATTTGAGTCTGTGCAATATTTTGAAAATTCGAACATTTTTTTTCAGAAAATTATTCTGCGAAAATTATAGAACCGATTTTAATGAAATTTGATGTGTTGTTTTATTATACTCTACAGAATGCCCTCGGAGCAATTAAAATATTTAAAAAAAAATTATCCAAAAAACTTGATTATTTTGTTTTTTTTTTTCATCAACTCTTGCTATTTTGCAACATCGGTAATAAATTTAACTTACAGTAAATTCGATTCTAAAACTTTTTTCTCCTTTTCAATATTCTTCCAAAATGCATAGGTTCCAAGATATAAGTAAAAAACTAAGATAAAATAGGTATTTTTTTAAATTTTTTAAACATTTTTGAAATTTTGAAAACGTTCCGGACCTAGCCCAGACCTAGGGATCTACAATTTTATTATGTGAGTTGTACTGAAGGTAATCCAGATAAAATTTGCTTGTCTCCTCTCATATCCACCTCAAAACAGATCCTATTATTAATTAATTCATTTCCCGTGTGGGAATAAAACAACGGATGTCTCAATTTATATGTAATTCAATTTGATTATTACTGCAACGCATCTAGAGAGATTTTCAAAACGGTTCTAGTAAGTTTTATTATCCTCAGTTTAATTCTGTCTTTCAGAATAAAAAACAATTTCCGTTAACGATGTATCCTGTACTGTTTTAGTCATAGGAAGTTTTCCCTTATAATTTAAGTTTAAATTCAAAATTCCACAAATTTTCATCGCGAACTTCCCCAGCTAAACTTCTGTATCCGTTGCATTTATAAAACTTCATTTTCATTTACGCTTAACTCTTCTTAGCGGGCTTAAACTTGTAGTAACACGTTTTTACATAATTGATTTATATTAATCCTACTTTTTAAAGGTTTCAGACACATAAACACTAAGGGGTTGATTATATCCCCTATAAAACTGAATTCTAAACCCTTTCAATTTTTTCCCGCTAAATTATTGATCGCTAAATATATACGATCAGAGTTACTAATTTATCAAAGCAGAAGCAGTTGCGAGAAGTATCCTTGTGTTACTAAGACTTTTATTTAAAAAAAAACATACATTTTATATTATTTTTTAAGTTAGTTTGGCAATATCACTGTAGAAACGTTAGAAAATTATCGGAAAATCATTACATGCTAAAGTGCTTGTGCTCCTAAAAGTGTTTTAGGAGTGTTTCTAAAAAAAGCACCAACATTAAATCAGTCGAGCAAGCTTCTCAACTTAATTCGTATAATGTTGTTCAATTTATAGAAAACACACCTAAATGATTTGCCCAAATCTAAATAGTTCACTTAACCTCAAATACAATTTCTAGTTAGATATAGTTAGATAGTCAGGAGAAAGGTAAACTTATTCTCTTAGTATCTGAAGAGAATTTGAAGTATAAATAAAAAGGAAAAAGCTAAAGTGAATTATAAATTTAAAATATTAAAAAATTAATGTAGTAAACATTACAGTAATGCAATAAAAAAGTGCAGTGCTGGAAAATATATCAGAAATAAAATAGTTGCTTTTAAGGGTTCCATACAAGTTGAAGTAAATTCACAATTCTATTTTTGCAGCCTGTACGGAAACCTTTAGAATGATTATTTTCAGCCAGGTTTTAGTGAAAAAAATTTTACGTTTAGATATTTAATACCTAAAAACTTTTGCTTGTATCTACTGTTACTAAAAAACAGTTTCTAAAGAAATCGACAACTAATTTACTCGGTACTAAAAGGAGATTTTATCGTGTTTTGTTTCGGAAATGGTGTTACAATTTTTTTGCACCGTAACATGGAAACGATTTATTATTCCAAGTACTGTTCGACATACAGTGTGTCATAAAAATGGGACACCCTGTATAATTGAAAATAAAGTTGAAATTTTAAGAAATTGATTTATTATTAGCCGAATTTGTAACTCCATCTGTAGAAACGTTTATTGATTCTATTAATTTTATTGTGAAAATGGTAGGGCGTAGTGCCAAGCACACTTTTTTAGTGAACCTCGTAACTCTAGCTTTACCTACTCCGGTAGTACTCGATATCAAGAAAGTGCTAAGTCTACTGTAACGCGAGTGTAGGGTTTCAAGAGAAGTATAATAGGGAGGAAACCTATTACATATCCCTTTCATTTTATCGAACATTTCAGGGCTTTTTTTAGAATGGAATCCCAATCCTTTTTGATAGAACAAATCCAGATGGTAAAAGTAAAGTTACCCGGAGGGTCTAATTAATTTTATAAACGGTTTTTTTTCCTAATTGAATTACTGTCAACTTCCCTTCCAAGTTGCAGGCATAAAATAAACGTTTTTTGTAATTCACTGCAATCAGATCACACGTTTTGTTACAATTAATAGTGATATGATTGTTGCTAATATACAGTATTTTAATTAGAAAAAACTACAATGTGAGCTACTATCGAAATAAGGAATATCAGTGATATATACAAAGATGATAGCAATTGTAATGTACTGGAATAACAGGTTTTGTTGCCATTAATACCAATATGATTATTATGAATATACAGTATTTTTATAAGAAAAAAACCGTAAAATCTGTCACTGAAAAGTAGTAAATACAGATACAATCAAATAACTTGTTTCGTTACCATTAATGACGATGTGGTTATTATAAATATACAGTATTTTATAAGAAAAAACTATAAAATTGGCGCTACTAAATGTAATTTAAGCAAATCACACGTTCCGTTACCAATAATGACGGTATAATTCCCACAAATACACAGTATTTTTAGAAGAAAAGTGCTGTAATAAAATAAAATTAATTAAAAGAACAAACGATGGGCGATGGATTACGACTTTATTTATCTGTTTTTTCTTTCTGTACATCCGCATATTTTGATCTGATCTCCTTCTTTTTATGTACCTAGATGATTAAATATGTTAATAGCACTTTTCACCTAGTAAATTTAGTAAACTAAGCATTTGTCGACTAGCATCTTTATATGAAGCATTTTGTTTATTTTTAAATAGATATATGCGGTATCAGTTTATACATTATTATAATTATCACGAACGTAAGGCTTATATTTTTAAAACCTTCGACAGATTTTTTAAAGAGTGGCGAATATTCTATCTATTTATAGACGTATAAATAGATAAACCGCTAAATCCATCAGTGAAATATATCTACAAACTTGAAAACACACGAAATATTTATAATATATGGTTTTCATAAAACAAAACATTTATTTGTAGCTACACAAAATTCATCATATTTCAATATGTCCATTAACGAACATGCAAAAACTGAAATTTAATTTATCCCATTTTGAATTTAGTTATTAGGGAAATAAATGCGATTCGTAAAACAAACCATTAGAGAGAAATATAATATTATATTGATTCGGTATTCAATAAAATACATTCTCATATTTTGAATATTAATAAAACAATATTTGCGTTTGTAAAATATTCGTTATTGACCAGGCACTCCTTTTCGCACGTTGCATGCAAGTTTCAAACAAAACGTACGTATATTTTGCAACATGTGCATAATTTCGATACAGATGAATGAAATTAGTGATATTTTTTTTTATTTTTCAGCACGACCAATAAACAGAGGGTGTAACGCGAAAAGTTTACTCATATCCACAATTTGTAAAACAAACAAACTATCCACGGGCTCCAATATAAACAAATAAATGCAAAACCGCTTTAAATTATGAAAAATAACACCCATATGTAAACAACCCCGTCAAAATAAACGGAGCCCGAGTTGCTTTTATATAAATCTTAATTACTCAAAACAAGGTGTAAGTAATAACACCGTTTTCTTTGTTTAGGAAAACAAATTTAGTCTGGATGTATTTTCTTTGAGCTACGCCCCTCAAAGTAGGTGTGACGAGAAACGTGCTTTATAATTTTGTTTATGCACAATATTTCATTTTGGGCGCTATTTTAGAAACTGTTTTTTAGATTAAGGTGTATTTAATTCAATTTACAACACAGATATACAGCCAATATTATTGCAAAAGCCTTGTAGCATAGAGAGTAGTAAAAATACAGAAGTACTTCGGTGTTTACTATTCGAAAAGAATAACATTTAGAGCAGAACCAATGCAAAATTAAAAAAAAAATCAAGGGAAAGAGCACAGCGCGGTATTTTAAATGTTTATGTTTACCTGATCATTTTACGGATTCTTGGGAAAAGTTGATACTGTAGATAATATTAGTGTATACCGTCTTTAGGTTGAAACGACACATTTTTGTTATCTCAACTAGAGAGAGAAATGGATATGATTTATTTTGAGGTTAAGTGAAAAAGCGTAAACTTTCGAGCTAGAAAGTCAAAAGGACTCTAAATGATCATCCAACCGTTTTCACGTAGGATACAGTGTCGCTGGTAACTTCTGTAAGAGCGCGCTTGAGCCGTGATCTACGCGCCTGCGCCATGGTCTGCGAAGAAGACAGCAAACCAGAGCCCTACATAGGATCACACGTTTCATCTAATGGCACCCACACGCGCGCGGGCAAATCTCCAGACTTCCCCGAATAGGCAAGCACTACCGGCGCGATATTTACAGCCGGACTGTGAAATGGTTACACAGGGTGTCAAAAAAAAACGCCTCAAAATATATTTTAAACATGAGTCGAATACTATATTTTTTCCACTATGGAAAAATATATAAATTAAAGTGTAAATATCTGTTTTACTCACTAGAGTTTCAATATATGCACTGGTGCCTCAATATTACACTAGTGCGTAAAATGTTCTACTTTATGCACTAGTGCGTAGTGTTTCATTTTATGCGCTAGTGTGCAAAAAAATGACAGTTTGGATTGTAACCTCATTAACACCAAGTATATTGCTACGTATGCGATATACTAACAAATTTCAATGCAATAGTGTTAAAACTATTAAAACGAAATAAGATTTGTTTTGAAGCAAGTACTATTAAAATTAAAGTTAGAAAAATTGAAGTTATATACCTACGCACTCCTATACAATTTAATTTTATTAACTCATTTCGGAATAATTGTGAATTGGACCTAATACTTTTCTTACTATGGAATAATATGTGTTATAAGTTAAAATATAGACATCTGCTTTACGCACTAGAGTTTCAATATATGCGCTGGTGCGTAAAGTGCTTCAATATATACACTAGTGCGTAAAACGTTCCACTTTATGCGCTAGTGCGTAAAGTTTCATTTTATACACTAGTGTGCAAAAAATTACAGTTTCGATTATAACTTCGTTAACACCAAGTATATTGCTACGTATGTGATATACTATCAATTTCAATGCAATAGTGTAAAACGATATACGAGTTATTCTGAAGCAAGTACTATTGAAATTAAATTTAGAAAAATTAAAGTTACGTACGCATTCCTATACAATTTAATTTTATTACATATCTGAATTATTGTGAGTTGGATCTAATACTTTTCCTGCTAAGGAAAATGTATGTTATAAGTTAAAATATAGACATCTGCTTTATGCACTAGAGTTTCAATATATACACTAGTGCGTAAAGTGTTTCATTTTATGCAGTAGTGTGCAAAAAATACATCTTGAATTGTAATTTTGTTAACATCAAGTATATTGCTATAAACTGCTGAAACAAGTATTATTGAAATTAAATTTAGTTAGAAATAATCCAAATTAAAGTTTCATTCCTATGCAATTTAATTTTATTAAACTATTACTGAATAATTGTGAGTTGGATCTAATATTTTTTCTACAATTGAAAAATATGTTATAAGTGCTTTACGCACTAGTGCTTCAATACACGTACTGGTGCGCAAATTGCTTCAATATTACACTAGTGTGTAAAAATGTTCCACTTTATGCGCTAGTGCGTAAAGTGTTTCATTTTATGCACCAGTGTGCAAAAAATGACATCATAGATTGTAACTTCATTAGCACCAAATATATTGCTACGTATGTGAGACACTATAAATTTTAATACACTAGTGCAAAAACGGGAATACAGAAATCTACTTCACACACTAGTGTTCCAATATATGCACTGATGCGTAAAGTGCTTCAATATATACACTAGTAAGTGAAATATTTCACTTTAGACACTAGTGAGCGTTTCATTTGGGGCACTAGTGTGCAAAGAATGACAACTTTGATTGTTAACACCAACTATATTGCTACGTATGTTATACACTATTATTTCACTATATTTTTGACGCTCTGCATTAAATACAATAATGATGTAATTTTTAGCTATACGAATTGTTCGTTTTTAATTTAGTGTTTTACAAAACTACACTGTTTAGTGCAATGTGTAGAAAACTTTGAATATTCTAAAATTATAATTAAATATACTTCAATCTACAAACTGTATTTTTTTCCAACTGTTAAAATATGTCACTATGGACTTCACCGATATTTAATTTTTATTCTTACTAAAAATCGTGGGGAAACTATTATAGCTGTATAAATTAAGGAATTTTACTTAAAGTTATTGCGGTTTAGATACATACTTGTCTGTTCAGTTAAGTCTCAAGACTTGCCTACGTGTGTACGGACCTCTTTATGAATCTCGCAGACTTCTTTCGGTCTTCATTCATCCATACATTCGCACTAACCCTTGAACCCAATGTCAGCTGTGCGCGAATACGAATGTACCTTAGTTTTCCCGGACATTGGGCAGTGTTTTGATTTATTTTTAATACAAATATTGTATGTATAGCAAAAAACTCAGTGTTACCTGTGCACTGAATTATAAAAGTTTACAAATAAGACAAAGTATACGATTTAAAAATGCGTGTCAAAGGAACTGCATCTAGAAAAAACAATGGATTTTGCCCATAACTCTTTTTTACTACAGTTCTGAAACGTATTCCAGAATATATATCTCTTGAATTATTTTTATCTCCTCAAAACTATTTGTATATTTAATTAAAACTACTATTTGTTGAAAATATGTATTGCGTGCATAAATGACCAATTTTATATATGAGTTATAGTGGATGTGGTAAAAAACTAGCAAAATATTTAGAGAAGTATTACGATATTAAACTGAAATACACATTTAAAAAAGTTATGAGCAAAGATAACATATAAACATTATTTACTAGGTTCTATGTACGATTATGCATAATTCTGCAACCCACATATGTCCCACAATTCATATCTTAATAACTAAGTAACATGCAAAGGAAAATATTCGATTGCTTTTACAAACTTTAGCAAAATATTTAGCAATGGAAGCAGCATTTCACATACATCTCAAAATATTATTAAGAAAATGTAAGCTGCAACATAATAAGCAATAAAATCTTATCAATGTTACCAGGACTCTGGTAAATATTTCTGCAGCAAATTTCCACGTGTAACATTAGCGCATTCGCCATTATTTCGAATTTGTAATAAAATTAAATGCACAATCTGGGAGCAATAACTGAGATTAAGAACCAAATTCTAATTTGGGGAGTCTTATTAAGGGTGCTGAAAATTAGGGGGTGATTTATCACAAGTCAGCCTACTGCTTCAATTTATATAAAGAATTGTGTTCAGAAATCGCCATTCTTTCCTTTTTCTTCCCGTCCGGGAATTTCTGTACTTAATTTTGAAATATGAAGAGAATATTAGCAGTGGTGTAGTTTTCCCTATACGTTGGGTGAATTTTCCTAGAAAACTAATTTTTTTTCAGTTAAAACAAATGAACATTGCGAAGGTGTCAAAACATAGCGTCTGAGAAGGATGTCAGGCATTTCTTAGTAGTTGGTAGGCGACTAAGTCTTTAGCTAACACATTATGCATGAAACACAGCCTTTTGTGTTTGATCAAAACATTTATTTTGTTTAAAATACCGGGAAGCGCATTGCACTTGACTGTTTTCCGTAGAAAATCGTTGCTCTTCGAATAAAACTGCCGGAGTACGGAGAGTTTTCAAACAGTACTAAAATAATTCATCGTATTCTTATTTCATTGCATGGCAGTAATTTTTTCAACTGAATTGCTGCTATACGTGATTAGGTATTTAAAATTTAAAACCCCCAACTTCACAGCAGGCTAAGAAAAGCATTAAATAGAATTTCCAGAGAAACTTTATATCGCACCGTTCTGCATAATTTCTTTAAATATCCAGGAATTTCGGAGAAATTTGAAATAAAGGATCTTAATGTTCGGGCCTAAGGCTACGCAAAAATATATTTCTGTGCCTTTAAAAGTGCTGTCCCTCTTAGTCCCTTGGAATTAAAGTTTATCTTTAATTCTTTGAGGTTTATGCCAAAGACAATATTTATTAAACAGTGGGGGACTAAAGTGTAGCTTTTAATCTCTTTGCATTAAATTTTAGTTTTAATTTTTAGGGTTTAATTGAATGATAACAAGGGACTAAAGTGCAGTTTTTAATCCCTAGACATTCAATTTTTATTTTAATTCCTGAGGGTTTAATTCAAAGACGATATCTATTAAATAACAAGGGACTAAAGTGCAGCTTTTAATCCCTTGGCATTAAATTTTAGTTTTAATTCTTAGGGTTTAATTGAAACGCAGCAAGGGACTAAAGTGCAGTTTTTAGTCCCTCGACATTCAATTTTAATTCCTTAGGGTTTAATTCAAAGACGATATCTATTAAATAGCAAGGGACTAAGTGCAGCTTTTAATCCCTTGGCATCCAATTTTAATTTTAATTCCTTATGGTTTAATTCATAGACGATATCTATTAAATAGCAAGGGACTAAAGTGCAGCTTTTAATCCCTTGGCATTAAATTTTAATTTTAATTCCTTAGGTTTTAATTAAAAAATAACATATATTAAATTGTAAGAGTTTAAAATGCAGCTTTTAATCCCTTGGCATTCAATTTTAGTTTTAATTCTTAGGGTTTAATTGAAAGACAGCAAGGGACTAAAGTGCAGCTTTTAATCCCTCTACATTCAATTTTAATTTTAATTCCTTAGGGTTTATATTAAAGACGATATCTATCTAGCTTAATTTTAATTCCTTAGGGTTTATATTAAAGACGATATCTATCTAGCAAGGGACTAAAGTGCAGTTTTTAATCCCGTGACATTAAACTTTAGTTTTAATTCCTTGGGTTTTAATTAAAAAACAACATATATTAAATTGTTAGAGTTTAAAATGCAGCTTTAATCCCTTGGTATTAAATTTAATTTTAATTCCTTAAGGTTTAAGTCAAAGACAATATGTATTAAGGGGCAAGGGACTAAAGTGCAGATTTGCATCTATTGGGATTAAATTTTAATACCTTAGATTTTAATTCAATGCCAATATACATATATTAAATAGCAAAGGCTGAGATTAAAGTGCAGTTTTTAATCTCTTAGGTTTAAGTTTTAATTTTATTCCCTTAGGTTTTAATTCAGTTATTTATTGTATAGTAAGAATTTAAAGTGTATTTTTTAATCCCGAGAGAAACAACTATTACAATCAATATTATACATATAATAGCACTTTAATGGCTGCTCCTTGTTTTGACAACCATATATATATTGCAT